TATATTTGTTGTATTATTAATGTATAAATTTATATATTATTAGTGAATCAGATAATAATACTTTATTAATAAACAAATATCAACTCTTAAAATATATATAAATTAAAATAATATTATATGATTTATTAATAATATATAAATTTTATATATTAATATTGTATCAAATATAAATCCTATTTTTAAACTACACAACAATGTTAGAGATAATTCTTTTTGTCCCATAAATCTCAAAACTTCATTCTTAAAATTCAAACTCAAAACCTCCGAATAAGCATGCAAAAAAAAAAACGGTCAATCCCAAAACATGGACTGGTGAATTCGATCAGATCCAAATTTAAGTGGACAGGACAAATCCAACAGACTGGGTCTTGGCCAAGCGATAACATGCAGCCCCATTCCTCCATTTAGGGACCCATGAGCTACCCCATTGCAGCTCTTCCCTTTGAAGTGTATGGGCTTAGCTCGGCCTGACCCAAATCAAGACCGTAATTAAAAAAATTATAAGGAAACAGAGTGAAAGAAGACGAAACATGTTGGTGCAATTTCCTGTTTAGTTAAACTTTCGGTTTTTAACTAAAAAAAATAAATAAAATTAACCAACTCAATTTTTTGAAAGGGTTTGTACATGAGAAATTCATTAAAACATAAAATTATGAGATTTAATCTAATTAATTCATATAATAATTTAAAATATATATTTAATAAATTTGAGATTCAAATTCTAATAATTATAATTTTTTTTATTCAAATTATGAATTTTGTATAAAAAATATATAATATAAATAGCACTAGTATATTAATTGTGAAATACCTAGTATAAATCCAAAAAATATAAGTAAAATCTACTTAATAATATGTTAATCTGCATACAAATAAGATCTTTTATACATATATATATATATGTTCATAATGCATTCTTTCATAACAAAATTACTTTAATTAAAAAAAAGATAATGCAAATGTTTCAAAATTTAGAATATAATTTGTACACACATAGTTATTTACCATATTTAGAATATTTTATTACAAATTTAGGCTATTTCATCCACTTTTTTACCATAACTTCTTACCTAGGTCATATCAAATCCTAAAATATATTATAAAATATCATAATAATTAATAAATAACATTAATTAAACTAGCATTTATTAGATCAATATATTTTTAATTTCAATTATCTCTAAAATTTCATGAACTTGACATAAAAAGCTCTCCAAAAATGATTATGAAAAGTTTAACATCTAAATATTTGCATAAAAAGTGCATAAATATTGATTTTAAAATGATAAGTATTCATGGTTAATTTATTTAGCTCAATAGCTTTTCCCAATGAATTCTAATTTTGTTTTCACTCTTATAGGGAGTGAAATCAACAAAATGACATTTCTATAGGTACACTAGCATGATATTTATTAGAAAGATTGAGAGATAATAATTTTTTTACTATAAATATTTTGAGTTTTTTTATCATCAAAATAGAATAAGATTTTAATTTGTTAATATTCATGGTAGAAAATAGATTTATTTACAAGTCCAATAAGGTTAGATAAGGTCGAGTTTAAATAAAATATTAACAAATTTCATGCTTGTTTAAACTTGATTTGATTTAAAATATGAGTTTCATTTTGTTGTTTAAGTTTGTATAAGATTACCCATATTTTTTCAAATAAAAAATAAAAATTATAATAAATATTAACTAGGATAAAATAAGTACTAAAAAAAAACTTTGTTAATTTAATTGAGTATGTAAATGTGATTAGTATAAATGAAGATAGGATATTAGTATATTATTTATTTATTTATTTTTATGTAATATCATTATAAACAAAAAAATATAATAATTATTTAAAATTTGAGCATATTTTTGAATTCTGAGTAATTTGATTTATGGACAGATTTATTCAAAAAATTTAAATATTTTATAATTTTTTATAAAGAAAGTTTCAATAGAAAAATATTTGAAGTATTAAAATTTAAAATTTAAAATTATTAAATATTATTTTTTAAAAAATAATTATATAAATTAATTGAGTTAAATATCTAAATTTTAAATATTTCGTAATTTTATTAGATTTATCATATGGGTAATAGGGAAAATTTTGTTGACCCTTTCAGGACTAAAAGCGTAGGATGATCTAAACTTCAAAAGTTCCATTTGACAAAGGAAAGAGAGAAAAAATATATATATATGAAAAGAAATGTTAGATTGACTAGGTTTGATGTTCATGGACATAAATCCCATATTTGTCCACACGTATAAAGGATGAAAAAACATAAAGCCATGACACTAATGTAACAAAAAAAAAAATACATACAAAGAGGAAAAGAGGAGATAATAAGTAAAAGGAAGTAAAGGGTAAATTAAAGCACAAAAAATATAATAAAATAAAGTGAGTAAAGAGAAAAAAATAATAATAAGAATTAATCTTTTTGTGGTCAATTACATTCATAGATATGATTTTATCTCTTTTTAAGATTTTTTTTTTAAATTTTTATTTTTATTAAATAATTAAATGCTTTTTAAAAGTGGAAGTCCCATGTATATAAACTCCCCTTTGATAGATACACATATTTAGGTCTTTCTCATTCTCTCTCCTCTCTCTTCGCCCTTTCTCTTTCATAAGTTTTTTTTTTTCCTCTCTCTCTCTTCTCTCAGGTTTCTCTCTCCTCTCTCTTTCTCTTTCTCTTTCTCTCTCCAGAAAGGGCAAAAACCCTAAAGAGCCGTTTACACCCCCCAAGTAAGTTTTCTCTCTCCTCTCACTTCCATCTCTCTTTTCCTTTTTTTTTTTTATCTTTCTCTCTCTTGTGCTTTCTCTTTCTAAATTTTTTGAATATATGGGTCCTTACTCCTTTGTTGTACTATGAGACCTTTCATTTATATTTTATTTATTTATTTGTTTTTTTTTTTTTTTTGAGCTTTGGAGGTGAAGCTGTGAAGGAGATCTAGGAGTTATATAAAGTTTCCGATTTAAAAGCTCAGAAACTGCAATAAAAACCCAAACTTTTTATTCAAGCTTTTGTTTTTGTGGGGTTTTTTTTGGCTATATTTAATAGATCTTATTATGGGTTTTGATGCATGGAAAGTTTGGATCTTGGGACAATGTGGGAAATTAGAAATTATTTTGAATCTGAAAGTTTCCATTTTTTTGTTGGGTATCTTTAGATTTCCATTTCCGTTGCTTTTGAATTTTGGCATTTTCCATTTCTACTATATTTTTTATTTGCTGTGGGTTGAGATCTTTGGTTTCCAATTTTGGATCTGCGGAAATGTGAAGGCTGCCTGTTGAAATTTAACTCATTGGAGGTGGGTTTTTTTTAAAGAGTTAAAAATGTAACATATATTGCTACCCTTCGTGTTCTCAGGAACCAAACAGATTATGAGGCATTCTTTGAATTTTGAATGTTGTTTTTCTATCAGATCTTTTATTTGGCTTTGTATGTATTTGGATCTGGCTTGCTCTTTCTTCATGTAAATGCGTTGAATTTCTTATTTGAGGCCTTATTTTTTGTTTGAATGTTTCTGTTTTCAGTTTGTTTCCATTTTCTTGGTCTTTGTGGGTTATTCAATGGGAATGTCAAGCATGATTTGAATGGCATTGATGGAATAATTTAAATGATGGTAAAAGTTTAATCATACTGTTGTGTTGTTGACTATATGTAGCTTCATGGATGACGATGCGTTGAACATGCGTAATTGGGGTTACTATGAGCCTTCCTTTAAAGGACATCTTGGTCTGCAGCTCATGTCAAGCATGGGTGAGCGGGACACAAAGTCTTTTATTCCTGGGCGTGATCCAAATCTCATGGTTACTCCCAATGCTGCTTTTCACCCACGGGACTGTGTTGTTTCAGAGGCACCTATTGCCATGAATTATGTTAGGGATAGTTGGATTAGCCAGAGAGAAAAGTTTTTCAACATGTTACCAGTCACTGCTCCTAATTATGGCATTCTTCCGGAGACTTCGACAGCTCATTCATTGCCAATTTTGCAGCCACCACCTGATTCTGCAACAAGAGATGAGAGGGTGGTCAGTAGAGTTGAAGAGCCACCAGCTACTAAGGAAGGTGTTCAGTTGAAGAAAAGACAGGGCGGGTCTGCCCCAAAGACACCAAAGGCCAAAAAGCCTAGGAAGCCAAGGGATAATACCAATTCTACCGTTCAACGTGTGAAGCCAGCAAAGAAGAGTATGGATATTAAAATAAACGGGTACGACATGGATATTTCTGGCATTCCAATTCCAGTTTGCTCATGCACTGGAACCCCTCAACAATGTTATCGATGGGGCTGTGGTGGTTGGCAATCAGCATGTTGCACCACAAATGTATCCATGTATCCTTTGCCAATGAGCACCAAGAGGCGTGGTGCGAGGATAGCTGGGCGGAAAATGAGTCAGGGGGCATTCAAGAAGGTCCTGGAGAAACTTGCAGCTGAAAATTATAACTTTGGTGACCCAATTGATTTGAGGACTCATTGGGCTAGACATGGTACTAACAAGTTTGTCACTATCAGGTAGATTTAAATTGGTGGTAATGGTAGTGGGACTCCATCGCATATGGTCTGCTTCACCTGTATATATTTCTGTGGCCTTCTGCAGAGATCTTTTATGGCTTTTAGTTCATGAATTTTCAGTCATGATAATGTTTTAATATTTGAACATCATGCTTCTTTTGAACTTTTTAGTTTTTCATTTATGTTCGTGCTCTAAGAACATCGTGGTCGCCAACTTTAAGTTGTGGATGAGTTTTTATTCCTTGGATCCTGTTGGATAATCACCTTTCATCCACTCGGCAAGCGTTATTAAAGACTGGCAGTTAATTGCTGCTTTTCCTGGCTATCTTTAACTGACATCAGTGACATTTTATTTATTCCATTTATTTGCATTAGATTCTGAATGGTTTTTAAGTAGTGATTGTGATCCATTTATTTGCATTTTAAGTAGTAATTGCATAATTGAATATGTTTTATTAAATCCTTTCAGTTTTTTGGAGAAGAGATTGGTGGGGGGGATGGGGTGGAGGTTGGGGGTTGGATTGAAGTATTTACTTGGAGAACAAAGTCCGAGGTCTAAAATTCATAGTCTTGTCCCCTTTTGCTGACTATAAATTGATGCAAGTATTGCATTTTGATGATACTCATCTTATGTCAAGGATGAAAGTTTGTTAAAACTTAAAAATTGATTACATCTATGCTGATTTATTCTCTAATCTCTATTGCATAGATTTTAGAGTAATTGCTTTCTACTTCTGCATTGATTCAGTTATACTAAAAGATATAGCATAATCTTTGTTGGGAACTCTTGCCAAATTGTTCTAGGTGATGAAATAAGGCATGGTTTGTTGTGCATTTATGTTAAAGCCTCTTTGAAAGTCATTAGCTTTAGATATGTTGGTCAGTTACCTATGGTTATTCGTGCCTCCAGATTTTTCTATTATACCAAATAGCTATACTGAGAAGTAGAATGATCTTACTTCTCTTTTGCAACTCCGTCCAAATTCTACTCACTCTGTCATTTGCTAGCAGGGAGGAAAAAGAGGCATATTGTAGCAATGCCTAAGAAAATGTTGACTGAGATCAAGAACCAATCTTCTCCTTTCTTAAGCAACTGAAAGTTAAAAACCATAAGATATTCTGTAAAATGTATAAAACATGTTTTGGAGCATTTTGTTCACTAGAATTTGTGTAAACTTTGTTTCCAAATCATCTTGTTATTTTTAATAGAAGAATATTGTTCTAAGATCAATATGACATTGCCATGCTTATATTTATTGTTGTATGTGTTTTGCTTAGTCAGTAATGTGTGCAATTTGCTGGTCAAGGTGGTTTGTTGTCATTTAATTGCAGTGTTAAGGACAGATTTTATTGTTTCTTTCATTAGGTGCTGCGCTATTTATTGTAAAATCCATTAGGATATGGATATCATTGTAAAGGAAAGATTTGATATTTTGTTTACCGGTTGGCTCCTTTCCTCCTATTCCCTGCTGAATTGCAGCTTTTATAAGTGATGGTAGGTTCCACTGCAGATTCTGGTTCAAACAATTTGAAGGCTAGTTACTTCTTATTGTTGTTATTAGTCTTAATGATGTTAATTATTTTGATAGTTGTTACTTGACATTTGAATCATCCATTGATTCTATGGTAACAGGTTCCATGGTATAGGTTGCTATATCATAGTATGTATACTTGTCTGTCTGTGTATATGTGTATACCATGAAATCAGTTCCGGGGTCAGCTGGACATTTTTTGTTGAGGAATGTCAGAAAACTTATTTAGGTTTCATGTCGTTTTTTGTGGTTCATAATAAAAGATACCCTGTTTTACGTAGTTCATTTTTTGTTCCTCTGAACAAGCATATAGGCCCTTGCCATATATTTCCAATGAATGGTTTCAGAACTCGTAGAGGGAAGGTGGATATGGACTCTGGAGGCTTATTCGAGGTCTTTATTAGTCTTTGAAAACACCTGAATATGTTTGAGCATTGATAAAATTGAGTTCTATGAAGGCAATTATTTGTGTTCGCTTGCAGTTATTGTTCTGGAGACAAACTATATCTGAGTGTAGCCTAAGAATATAGGTCATATCAACATCAAGACATCAGGGAAACAATGATTTTGTTTCTTCCAGGAATTTTTTCATCCTTTTTCTTTGGTGTGTGCGCGCGCGTGTTATTATTCTTTCTTTCTGAGGCGATAGCCGATCCATGTTCCCCACCTTGTTCTAACGCTCAGAATCAACCATTACATTCATGATATCATAAATCTTAATTAAATATAAACAAACAAACGCGTAAATAAAGATGGATACCCCTGCATTACTGTATATATAGACGAAGAGTACAGAAAAAATACTGCATTTATAATCTTTTTATTTTTTGGTTTGCTTGTACACATGTAATCCAAAAAGAGTTGTCAGGAACTGATTGAAGGTCCTTGAGAGCAAAGCTAGGCATACATTAACGAATTGTTCGAACTGCTAAGAAACTAATTAAATCCGGAATTTCATAGTGATGATTATAAGCAGGCACATAGGTCCTTGAGAGCAAAGCTAGGCATACATTAACGAATTGTTCCAACCGCTAGAAACTAATTAAATCCGGAATTTCATAGTGATGATTATAAACAGGCACATCATCAATGGGTATAAGAGGTAGATTTGATGTACCAGCAGCTTCTTCAGGAGCAGCAGTATTCTTTTCATTAGGGAAAGAGAAACCATTGATCTTTATATTTTCATCAAAAACCACCCATTTGTCTGTTATTATTGTCTTCAAAGCTCCCCTTGTTTCTCTCTGTTCACAAAGTGCACTGTTTTCTTCACTCACAACTATTGCCATTTGGTTCTTTTCCTTGAAATCATCGTTCTTGTATGTCTTGGCTGAATCCCCATTGATTATTCTCTCAAGTTCTTGAACATCTTCCTCCGGAATGTGAGTAACTGTGGGGAATTCGTTGGCGTTTAAAACGCCATATTCCTTGCAAAATTCGAAAAATAGAGAAAGTTCTTCACCCTGTGTCGTTGCCTTTTGAAGAATCTTAAGGGCCATTACAGCTTCAAGTTTACCAACTGAATGTATTTTCAACAAAACCTTTGCAATCTCACTGCATATTCTGCTATAAACGTCGAATATCTCAATGATGACACAATCCATGGCTTCGAGAATTAAAAGGACCTTCATGTTCTCCGCTCGAGGCCTAATTTGAAGCAACATATCAAGCAAAGATTGCCATTTCTGCAGCTTCGAAAGCTGCTGCACCATCAATGGACATTCCTCGGTTTTTGATCTGTTGTCATGCTCAAACCAAACGACTGCTCTTCGATCTAGAAATGCAAAGTATTCACGAATAAAAGCATTGAAACCCCATGCTTTGCTTGACCTGGAATGTCCGTCGCTGAAACTCGACAGATCAAATGGCAAACGACCCATCTTTTGAACCGCTGGGACCTTACAATGAAAAATGCCATGCATGAGCATCAGCCCTTTAATGGCAACCACCCAACTCCGCGTCTTCTCCATCCTGTTAGACAGAGCCCAAACAAGAGGGCGTAGGCTAATTGGGGACGCCCGAATCCACGAAAACACTATTTGCGCATTCCTTTTTTCAATGTGATATTCATCATGACTTGTGGCCTTGATGATGGCACCCTCAAGATCAGGATTCCTAAAGGAAGTTCTTCTGGAAAAGTTGGCCAGGATTAGGCTGTTCTTGTCTTTAATAGCACCGGTGGCCCTCTTCCAGAGCGTCATTTTTTCGTGTTGAATCGTCGCCCAAAGAGGAATGCAGCGGATTGGGGGTGATGAAGCCCTTTCTCTCTATTTTAGCTTTGGGGTAGTTGTAACTTCGTAATACCCTTTAGTTCCTTATTGTTTGTTTCTATTGGTTCAACAATATTGAAAACCAACAGTCAATAATTGGACGTGTGGAAACATGGCTTACAACAGAGAAGAAAAGCAGCCACATTGCTAGCTAATGGAATTAGTGGCAGTGATTTGGTGATGATTGGCTGTCTTTCTTCCATTTGTTAGCATATAGTTGCAGAGAGCAGTATGGTATTTGAAGTTTGGACCGTCGCTACATGTTTGCCTTGTTCACGGTTATTATTTTCTCATTTTGAGCTGTCTCGATTAGGTCATTACGCGCTTATGTTTTTGTAACAAATGCGAAAATCATAGGCTATATATACGGTTTAAGGGACAAATTAACATTAGAATTTCTGCCTTCAATTTGGAGGTTTTGAATTAAAATCCTGAGATAAAAGAAGATTTTCTTTTATTGTGTATTGCTTGCAGGTAATATTAATTTCTAATACAACCCTTTGAATTGAATTTGTTAACTTGAGCTATCGAGAGTTCTTGCAGAAAATATTTGAAACTGTTCCATTTCAAGTCATAGCATTCTAGAATAAAATCCAGAAAATAATGCCTAATAACAATGGATGATTTCTTGAATGACAAGAGAGAATGGTTGGAGGAAAAAAAAATCTCAAAACTAATCAATTTCAACAAGTACCCTTCTAGAAGAGAAAACATTAGCTAGGGTCCTGTCCAACAGGTACCCTGGCCATGATCCTGGTAAGTCATTTTGGAGCCTAAGAGAGACCAAGAGGACGGCCAGGCATCGAGATATTCCGGGCCTTTCTTCCGAGTTAGTGCAGCAGAAATCTGATCACAACTTGAAGCAGCGGACAGAGAGAAGCTATAAGAGCTTAGGCTGGACCATGAGGAACAAAGGTCGTCAAGCTGAGATCAACAGGTTTTGTCTTTTGTGAAAGAATTGGTGTTGCTAGCAGGCTTCTTTTAAAGACCTGCTAAACAATAACAAGAAGTTTTTCTTCCAAGGGATTGCGTCTGCATCAACTAAGGCAGTTTAGAGTTACGTGATTTTCTCCTGGTAGTAGAATAAGAATGTTGTCTCGAGACATACAAGACTCAAGAGCCCAAAATATATTTCTGAGCTATCTAGCTTATGGTATCTGGGCTATGTACATTTTTTTTTTTGTTAAAAACGGATCTGGTTTGTTCAAAATTGCACACATACAGTGTTTGATAAGGATTGGCAAATTTCATTTAATCTAACAGAGTCTAGTGGTTTCTCTTTTTCCAGGAAGAATTGAATCTCATGTCTCTTTGAGCTTCTCGTATGCATAAAAAAGTTTTTTTAATTTATTTTCTTAATAACAAATTATCTTATACTTGATTATGAAAATTTAAAATTTTTCAAAAATGCTTCAAAGATTAATCATATATCAATTAAGTTATAATTAAAACATATAGTAATTAGCACATTTCAAAAAATACATATAATAATTACTATAAATGAATATATGTCAACCTTATAGTCTCATATGTAAAATTCAAAAGCTCCATAATTAATAACAAAAAAAACCCAGATATATACAATGCATGATAAGAGTTTTTCTCAAATAGGGTAATATACCATCAAAATAAAGATAATTAGTTTAGAATTTAAAATTTAATTTAATTGGTTCATATATTTAATCTTAAAATGTAGTATTCAACAAATTTAATATTTAAATTTGAATATTTTTTCTTTTATTCTTAGACCATAATTTTTTTATATAAAAAAAAACTAGTTTGAGCATAAAAAGAAAATAAGGATAAGAAGGTACATTAAAGCGAATGTGTTTGTATATAATTAGCAAAAGACTAACGTACGCTACAACATAGGAGAGGAGATATTGCCCCCACCTTCACATTGATTTTGTTCAAATAAATGTTCAACGGCTAGCTAGCTAAGCTGAACAAAAGTGTCAAAAAGACAGGCTGCTACCCTCTTTTACTTGGATTTTGCCTCTCTGTTTAAGCTTTTGGCTCTACAATAGCCAACAGGATACCATGCCATAATATCACAGCTCACGCATGTCTCATCTGCATTTTCCAACTTGCACATAACCCAAGGAGAAAAAAAAAGCAGAAAAAAGTGGGAAATTGTAAGAGTTTCAACCAAACTACAGCTGCTTGTTCTTAAAAGCAAGAAGGATCAGTGATAAAGCTCTCTCCAATTTCATGTACACATAGAAAAGAGAGAGAGAGAGCGAGCCAGAGACCAAGCAAATTAAAAAAGAAAGAAAAAAGGTTAAAAAATAAATTATTCAAACAAAATCAAGAGTTAAAAATGGAAAAAAAAAATTGTATGGTGGAGAATCTTCCTTCGTCTTTCACTGTATAGGCGATCCCACACCGCCTCCTCTCTCTCTCTCTCCCTTCTTGCTTCTCCTTTTCATGCTATCCTTCTCTCTTTTTTTACTCTCTTCACCTTTTCTTTTATTTTTACTGCTATCTTTTAGTCTTTCCTTGTGTCCTCTCCCTCTCTCTATATCACAGATACAAAGTAAGATTTTCACTGCACCTGACATGAGCTTAAGAGCATATTTCTCTACCGAATTTGCATGTAGGGATGTTTTTGTAAGTCCCTTCATCTCTCCATGACCAGGATTTCTCAAATTGGGAAATTGGTCTCATATTTACTACACTTTTTTGTTAGCAGATGGTCTGCCTTATGAGTTTGCTGCACTGTGCTTACATGGTTCAATTGATATTATTTGGTTTCAGGATGGAAAAGAAAGTGAAGTTCCACTAATAGATGAGACCTGCTGGGAGACCAGACACAAGAGTGGTATGGACTTGCATCATCATGCAAATGCAATCGAGTTCGACATCGAGTTCTGGCCTGTTGAACATCCTATGGAGCCACAGGATGAAGATCGGCCTGTAAAATGCCCTATGCCAGCTTCTTCTTCCATCAATGTACGTTACATTGTTACTATTTTCGGCTCAGAATTCTATGCATGTGCTATAGCTAGCATTTCTTTGATTGGAAAATTTATTTTCCGGAAGAAGTTCGAATTATATAACTCTACCTTTTTTTTTATTGTTTTCTGTTTGGAAGACAACAATTGACAAGAAAGAGTCAATTCAAGGGTGGTTCCGAGCCTATCTCTTAATGAAGACAACGATTTTTCTGACATGAAAAATATATATATATATTTTTTCTTTTCAAGGATGGAAAAGGCCACGAAGAAAGGGTTAGAGCAGCAGAAAGCTTACGAAAGAGATCAGAACTAACAGAAATGGTGAAGAAAGGAATTGTGGTGGCTACAGAGCCACCGGTTAGAGCAGTGCGGAAAAGGCATCACACTCTCACCCGTGACGACCACATAATGAAGCCTCTTGTTAGAATGCCTCCTCTCCGTCCACTACCAACTCAGAACCTCACCATTTTCCAAATGCTTGAGGAATTCGACAAGTTTAACTCTTGAAAAGGTATATGCAAAAACTAATACCTCAAAATTTCCCATCCTTTTCAATCCTGTAATGCTTAGTTTCAAATGCATCTGGAAAGATGTCAGAAAAAGAAAATCCCAGACTAGATGGGAAAAAGAAAATCCTAGACTAGATGTAGCCCAGGTTTCAGAACTGTAGTACTAGCATGTGCGAATACTTGTGATCTGTGTGTTATTTATATCCAAAGCTTATCTTATTGAGGAACAATTATGACTCCCTGGAGGATCAAATCGAATTATAACGCCATTTTCTAGACTTGTGCTTTTCGAAGAAGGTATTTCAGTTTCAATAAGGGACTGATGAAAAATAATAATAAATATTACACTGTTCCGTGGAGATCTGTATTCAATAAGGAAGTATTGTACTAAAAAAGTTACGGAAAAAAAGATTCTCATATATGAATTCAAGTATTTACAAGTATAATGCAACGAATTCTTAAAGCGGGAGCGTACAAATTTGGTAGTTGAAGATTTCAGCCAGGCCCAAATCAAGAACCAGATTGCACACGTACTGAACTCCAAAAAGAGATGTACACAAACAAGCCCTTCCTTTTTTTATTTTTTATTTTTGTATTTTATCTAATCCTTTCAAAACCATATCAATTCGCAGAAAGAACAAATGTAGAGCTACGAACCCAGTTAACCAATAGATGGCTCAGCAAAGGCAAAAGAGACGAGAATCAAAACAAATAAACAACCAACCAAGCTGAAAGAATTCTCGGTTCTCAATACAGTCAAGGTGACCAGCTCATCTCATCGTCTGTTAAAAGCATGCGCTAACTACATGGCTGTCCAACGCTAATTTGAAATGAGATTTCTTTTATCTTTTATTATATTTTATTGTTAAATGGCTCAGTGTTGCTCAACTTTTCCTTTTACAAAGATTATCCTCATATGTTAAGCACTCTTGCTTCAATGCATCAACAGTAATTCCCTTTTTTATTTATTTTTTCATGATATAATGTATATGCTTTGATTCTGGTATCTTCTGTGCAGCATCAAATCCATAATATTTTTTCTTAAACATTATCTTCTTTAACTTTAATAAAAAGAACGCAAATGATTTTGGTGCCAAAGTGACGTGTCAGCATGCAGCATATGGGGACAAGCTCCATTTGCAATTTTATATAGCACTCAGGAATCACAACAGACACTCTTTCCTTCTAACCAGTTACAATCTTTAGACAAAAAGCATTCCCACTACGTAAAAAAGAGCTAAAAAATCTGTAGCACTATTTTTCCTACAATATAATGTTACTGGTTTATAAAAAGAAGGGCACTCAGATAAAGGAGTAAGCTGTAACATTTATCATTCTCTCTCCTAATTTCTGAGATCAAACATAGGGTAGTTTACCTCTCAAAAACGAGCAGGAACCTGGAGTCAGAAGAAAGCTGTGATTCAATCCTTCCTGCACGTGCTTTGAGGCATGTGAACAAAAATTAACTTGAATGAACTTTATTCTAAAAGTGAAATACAAAGCGCAACAGCCATGCCAAATGTTAATGAGATTAAATGCACTGCAGTACTTTTCAATGTTGTGTTGCTATTGTTATTCATTTCTGCAAGCACGCCGGCAATGGCAATGTATATAAATCCACCAGCTGTAAAACCCTGAAAGAAAGGAAATAACAAAAAAATTGTAAACTTGCCACGACCACCAAAAGTAAATTATCGAACATGCCTCATAGGTCACCCTATTACCTCAATCAAAGATGACCGTCCAGGATCTTGTCCCAAAAGCAAAGCCTACAGGAAAAGCAACAAGATTTTAACTAGTTCGCCTATCATTCGAAATAATAATTGCACTAGTGGCAGAGAATACCGACCATAGCAGTTCCTGCTAGTGCCACCAGCGCCGAAAGAAAGTTGAAGAACAGGGCTTTTGAAACACTGAAACCAGATCTTACCAATATACCAAAATCACCAACCTGCGCAGAAGAACAAACAAAGCCACGGAATTGAAATAATAATCAGTAAAATAATATATGAGGTAATCCAAAAGCAAAAATTTCAAACCGCACCTTTTATGAGAAAGTCCGTGTTATGCTCCCATTTCATCATGTTAGAGGAGTTATAATGGTTCAGTCATACAAGGGATGAATTTTGAGTGTGTATGCATGTTATGCTCCCATTTCATCATGTTAGAGGAGTTACAAGGGTTCAGTCATACAAGGGATGAATTTTGAGTGTGTATGAGTGTGTGCGCGCGCGCCCGCGCATGGTTGGGGTCATTTGGAAGGATTAGTAATGAAGGAAATGCAGTTCTCTTCTCACTCAAGATAAACCAGAGTGCCTACTCAGATAGGGAGCAATTAAATCAAACCTCATATTGAACCTGGACCATAAGAACTAATAGAATAACCTCATCATCCGTCTTTTTTTTTGGAGGGGAGATATGCAGAAGATTGGGCTAGAACCCTAGCCCTGCCAAAAGTCTCACCCCCAGGGGGTTGGGTTAAACATTGGGGCCAAGCCCCAGGTCTGAATAACCTCAATGCTCCCCTATAGAGGGTAAGCATGCAAAAGACTGTATTTGAATAATCCACAATGCTCACAAACCATCATGGCATGTCAATCAATGATGCCATACCCAAATAAAACAAAACATTCAATTATGAGTAGTGTTGTGCTTGCTAGAAGATAAAAAATATCCATGGTCCATTAATTTGAAACACAGTCAAGGCATGGAAACTATTGCGACACAGCATCACATAAATAATGCAAAATCACATTGTATCTTCAATAAAATCATGATTCTGACAAATTGTATCTTCAACCTTTCTTTTTTCCATTTTCCATATTACATGCATATTAACAAATATCAATGTTGTATTCAAATTTTAAGGACATCTTTATAAAGGCATAAATTAAGCTCATCAAATCATAAAAGAAATCAAACCTCTTGAGGAAGCTCATGTGCAAGCAAAAATAGAGTTCTGGACCACCCACCAACAGATCCATAAATCAAAAAAGCACTTCCTAAAGCCATCCCATCAGTAAAATTGTGCTGCAATTATAGTACATAATGTCTAATTAATGTTCAAGAACAAGAAGATTAAATTTCAAGAATACACACAGAAAACATACTTACAACACCATCAGAGAATAGATTGAGATAGCCAAACACCAGGTTTGATGATGAATGAGAAGTTTCCTTTTCTACCAAGGTTTTAACACTATTTGCACAGCCATCTGCAGGATCTATATCTGATTTATCATCATTGGTACCAGCAGAAATCTTTCTCTGTTGGATGCAATAATGTGAGATTGATGAATAATATTAATTTAAAAATTTAAGTTCAAACTACATATCAATGTTATCATTAGAAATCTTCAAGTGTTCTACATCTCACTGTTGTCATTTTCTTCAAGTTCAAGCATCCCTTTCATAAATAACTTTAGGGAATTTAATTTCCAAATGGGCAATTTATCTTTACTAAGAAAGTAAAAAATGTTCTATTCAAGACACAGATAGAGGACAGATATTTTACTGGTCAATTGCACATGTTTCACAACTGGTTCACACACTTTCCCAAAACATGTCTACCCTCCATGCAGTACAACCCAGTTTCAATTCCAGAATTTGTAATAATGCCATAGCCAGCAAATATAAGTATAGCCAGTCTCAGTTGTGTGTCGGTAGTAGGACAGAAATCTCATGTAAAAGTTTAAACCCTACCTTTCGGATTTCATGCTGAGTTGCATTATCTTCATTCAAAGAGCCATTTGACATGTCACCTAGTGATTGTGAACTGTTGTCATGAACATCATCATCATCATTTTTTAATTTTGTATTGCTCTTATGATGATGGTGGTGATGACCATGGCTCCATCCACTAGCCCTTCCAGAGTTTTCTTCAACATATCTGACCACCTTTTCCACAAGAAGAAACAGTACTATCCCAGCTATGACATAAGAAAGACCACCATGACAACACCATCCAAAATAAGATCAAGTAAAACATTAATACAACAGAAAAAAGAAGAGATAACCTTTTATGAAGTCATTTGTATCAAAAAACATGCACATCCATAAAGTATTAAAGCATCACCTATTCAAAAGCAGATAATGCCTCTGCCTTTTATTTTTTCTGAAGTTACAGATTCCACAAGAAATTATGCAATAAAAAAGCTTATAAGAGTTCAAATGACAGGTTTTTAACATCAACTCTTGCTCAAGGAAAAGCCAAAAATGCAATATCTCCAACAAATCCAGCTATAAAACAGAAGTTTCTCATTAGCCTTTCATTAAATAATTATTTGGCACACCCAAACATTTGTTTCAATGGTGCACGTATCCTCCTCAAAAAGTTGCATTTGAATCATCCCCTCCCCATAAAAAATGGATTATTTGACTTCAAGAAAAAACCTCCATCTCCATGACTAGTAAAATCCATCAATTATGCAGGCTACAAAATCTTTAAAGTTTTTCAATTTTATTTATTTATTTATTTTCTTTTTTGGTATTTCACTTGGAAAATTCTATAATCTCATGCATTTGACTCCCATCTATTCCTTAACCACAATCAAACAGCATCAATGTTCTTAAACTATACATGCTAACACTTGATATCTTGCAATCAAAATTCTCAAACCTAACAGTGTGTTTGGATTGAAGGGAGAGGAAGGAAAGGAAAGTAAAGTAAAGGAATGTAAAGGAAACAAAACCCCATCTTCCCTTGTTTGGATAAATTTTTAATTTAAAGAAAGGGAAAGAGGTGGAAACCAAATAACCTTTGGTTTCCCTTATAAACCCAATTTTTTTAATACCCTAATTTGGAGGAAAAGCTAGGGAAAGGAAAGTTGAAAAATATTTTTTCTATAAAACGACTATTATGTCCATCTTTTTATTAATACTAAAAACCTAATAAAAAAACCTAAGCAGATCACAATTATCCTGAAATTTTTTCAAAACCATATCTTTTTTCAAGTAAGTTTCACATCTCTTTCAATACAAAAATTTTTTATAATTTTTTGGTGATTTGATTTTGATGAATGGTTGAATATGAATAGATATATTTTTTGGGTTTATGAGATGACAGACTAGCTCAAAATCCATCAATGCATGTTTGTAAAATATCTTCCTGTTTCACTTGATTAAAAACCATTGATATAGCAGCAATTGTGAGGCCAGACAAGATAGCAAACATATCATGGTCCAGAAGTGCTCTAAAATTACAGGCAATAAAAGGTTATAATTGGAAAAAATTATTATAATGAATCATTTCCTTTCTTTTTCACTCTTTATCCAAACAATAGTTGTTAAAATTCCTTTCCTTTCCTTTCCTTTATTAATTTTAATTATCCAAACAAATGTTACATATATCCTTTCCTTTCCTTTAAAAAACTTTCTTTTCCATTCTTTTCCTTTCCTTTCCTTTCCTTTATTAATATTTATCCAAACATAGCGTAAGTGTCAACCTCATTCAGTCTTAGTAGTTACCAAACGCTCATTATAGGTACAAAATCCAAAGTTCAAACATAGGAACATATTAGTTCATCTATCTTATGACATGCATTTCAATTTTTCAAAAGTGATATGATTGCACAGGAAATTTCTTACATCACTGCAGATATAAAGAAAAGATAAGCCCAGTCTACCAATATGTTCCTGGCATATTCATGCATTACACACACACACACACACATATATCTGTAGCTAATAACTGTTTAAACACTTGTCTAATATTCTGCTACTTACCAAGAATGTACAAGCCCACAGAAAGATCCTTTAAAGAGTGTGCATGTGCATGATCATGCTCAGTGTGAACGGTATGAGCATGATCCACATGGTCATCATGTGAGTGGGAGTGTTCACCACCTGCAAGACAGTTCATTGGTTAGTGACTTCACTAATAGCAAAATTCAACCAGCAAAGCATTGTACAAACTGCCCTAACACAAAGTCTGTCAACTTGTTTAGCCTTCAGAATTTAAGATTTGACCTTTTCATTAAATTAATAAAACCAACAAGCAGATATAAAAACAAAAGAAAGCCTAAAAATGACGCTTTGGTTATCCGTCTCTCCAGAATTTCACATATTCTCTAGAAGCACATCATGATGCTGAAAAAAAATGTTGGTGCATTGCTAACAGGTCTAGATACAAAAAATTTCCTTGGGAGCCTTAGACTGAAGCTGAAGACACTTTGGTCCCACACAACTATCTAATTAGGCTACTAAGGAGTTACTGCTCCAGTTTTAATTACTGTTTTAGGCTTTTGTTAGGTTGGGGAATTAAAGTAACTTGCACTTGCAGGAACATACTAAAGCCATGGTCCATTTGGAACTTGTTTCATGTGAAGTCATATTATGGAGCCTTCAATCCTTGATTATTTACGTTAGTTTTTTTTTCCCCCCTTTTCGAATCAAGAATGTCAAAAATCCCTTTGCCCGGAACTATCAACACATCAGTACAACTTCTAAATCATGCAGGGTGTATATTGCTTCCTTGAGGCCCAAGCAGAAGCTTGGATGTTCAATAGCAGCCCTTTAATTGAACATCCAAAACCAGCTAATGGCTTGCAGATGCAATGTAATTCTGTGGCCTTCAAGACATACTCTAACATGTAAAAATGTAAATGCAAAGTAAACCTCTCACTGATTGTCAGGGAAATTGAAGTTTATGGATTATATTGATCCCAGAACTAGAATTAAAACTCATGCATTAAAGCCTCAAATATACCACAAAAATTATGGCTTATAACTAAGTTGAACTATCATAAATTGATACATGATCAAAATCATACCAAAAGCATGTGGCAACTGGTGAAGAAAAGCATCCCCTAACATGGCTCCTGCCTGTAAAATCAAGGTAAAATTAAATGTAGAAAACCATTTGTGTGTGTGAGAGAAAGAGAGAGTAGTGATTTGAATAATGAGCTCTTAATATTGCTCAATCCAAAACTATGGAAAAATTAAAATCAAGAAATTAGACAAGGAGAATTATTCAATATAATAAAATCCGGTGGATTAGGGTTAAATATTCATAAAAAAAAAAAAAACAATATTCCAGGGTTGGTGTTTTAAAACAGAGACAACCTCTGTTACAAATAAAGCTATGGTTACAGACAGTAAGTAAGGGTAACTTTCTCAAAAAGTCATAGAAAGAAACTTATTCTAATGTAAGGCAGGAGGTGCAAGAGATTAAAGCTAAAATTCAGAAAAGAACGACTTTGAGCCACCTGGGACATCATCATCAGAATCTTTGAAAGAATTAATTGAAAAATGCAAACCACGGAAAACAAGAAACTCCAGTAGAAGATGTCGGGTGCGTTTTGGGAGCATATGTCTTATGTAATCTCTCCAATGTGAGAGCAAATGCTTTTTACTCCCAACTGAGGAAAAACAGGAATTTCACAAAAGAAGGAATAGCAAGAGCTTCATCATGTGGGTTGTTGCCCTAACCGACCAAACCACTGGAATCATAAAAATTAACTAGTCCTCAACTCTTTTCATGCCATATAATCAAGCAAGGTAACTTTTCATCAGTAGCAAGGAACTACATGTTCATAAGAAATCAATTAATAATGGCTCTATAGAGAGGGAACAAATTTCGTAAGGAATATCAAATGTAAGCTCTTCCGAAAGACTAAAAGAAAAAAGAAAAAAGAAAAAAAAACATAATTACCATATCCTCTTTATCTTTTTGCCTGAATTTGATTATGCAGTTAAAAAGGTAACTGTTTTCCTTCTCTCAATGGGTAAATTAAAAAGTTTTTATGGTTATCAATCATGTCCTAGACTAGAAGAAATTACAATGAAATTCCATCGTGGTTCTAATTTTAACTAGTACAAATAAGAAGTTAAGAAAACAAATACTTCAAGAAGACTTAAAATACATTCTTTTCACAGGAAACAAGCACAAAATGAAAGAAAATAAAGTAGATGTTTGATGTTAATTTTAATAAAATTAATGCACCCTTCTAAATTTAGTAAGACATAGGATTTCATTTTGTCATTAAAAAACTTTTTGAGAACATTTTTTCCAATGATCATTCTTTATTCATTAACTAAACTCACCTTTTAGTTCACAAAAACTACGAAAGATAAATGTCAATTTGATTTTTTTTATTTAATATAAAAACAAACAGAACTGAACAACTATCATAATTAGCATTCTCGACTAAAATGTTCAGAACAAATGATTCCTTTCTGAGAAACAATAATATAAAACATCAGTAATTTGCTCAAAATAACAATAATCATTATCAATGGCAAAGGTTTTATGGCCAATATAATAACATATAGAATATATATCCTGATCAGTTTTCCTAATTAACAGAAAATTTTTCTTTAAAGAAAAGGTATAATGATCAAGAAGCTGACAAGGATGAGGAGGTTCAGGAGGAGGAAGAGAACAATTAGGTTCCAAAACCCCCGAAAAAATTTATTGCAGTCAAAAGCAAAAGGCATCCTCAAGGCAGTGGGACCCTTCAATGAACCAAGATCTAAAAAGTGATGCAATGGAGTTAATTACAGATATTTGCATCTAATAAACCCAAAAAAAAATAGAAATAAAACTACCTAAGGCCTACTCCTGCCCTCCGAAAAGATTAGGCAAAGGGTAATCATGTTCAGGATACATAACATAATGAACAAACATATGCAGCTGAATTTTGCAATCCAGCCATACAAAAAGAAAATATCAGCAGATAATTTGAATCCTAGTTTATGCAAATCTAACAATCTTAGGACTCTCCTGGCAGAAAAGGCAGAACATTACATAATTGAAGTTCAATATGATTGCAAATCAGTAAATACATTTTCCTAAATAATAGGAAAAATATGAAACTCAAGTGGCAGAAGAGAAGCTCATGAAGCAGTATTTCAAATTATTCAGTCTTATAGTTAACATTGAGGACTATTGGCGATCAAAACAAGGGAAAGCAGAATTGATCATGAAAATGCACGATACAAATCCTACAAGCACCTAACAGATACCAACAAGTTAAAAATAACGAGTGAAGATTCATTATACATACTTGACACAAAAAAGCAGTAACAACATAGAGGAAACAATCAATAGTAACAATAAATATTAAAACAAGGCTGCATATTATTCAAGCACTCAATAGATGTTATCTTGACAATATTTACAATTAAAATTTATATGTCAAATAAAAGGTTTGAAGAATCTAACCCCAAATAAAGCCAATGAATCAACAACTGCCTTGGATGGTTTTCCTTGTACTGCAATAACATAATCAAATTTTAAGTTCAACTATCAGGATTAGTATCTTATCACAAAAGCTAATAATTAATTCAGCAGAAAATAAAGCGAAAGTTAAGACCAAATATATAAATAATTACGCTTCAGGAATTAACTTACTAAATATCACAGGTAAAATAATCAGGCAAATAAGGGAAGCCAAGCTTACTAAGAGTGAGCATCCCATTGCATGTAACCAAAGGCCTGTCAAAAACACAAAGTCCTAATAAGGCTTAAACCTCCCAGCAGAATGGCATTGGTTATATGAACTAGACACATTTTGGATGTTCAACAACAAAAATGCAAAGATCAATCAGAACAGAATAGAAAGATTTAGCAGCCAGTAGAGAGGAGAAATTCCAACATGACAAGCAAATGCGGAATAGAAAAAACAAAATCCAACAGCATCATACCAATATCAGCATTAAACTCAATGGTTGGTAACCAACAATTTTCTGAACTATCACCTTGGAGACCATTTTAGAAGCAGTATTCAACTAAGTCTACCAGTCTAGTAAAAGAATGAAGTTTCTGGAATCAATAATAGATATTTATGCACATTCTTCTCCAATTAATTTGGCCAACGCAGCTAATAAGAGCATAACAGTATGGAGCAAGAGTCAATTTACTGAACCTACTTACTTAAGCTCACATCACATTGATGAAAATATATGTATCGCAATATTGTAGCATTAGGTTATCACAATATTTTGCCTACTTTAAGGCAATTACACCTTCCCAATAAGACCAATGGCAAGGTGGCATTCCATGAAACATTTTCTGGAAAACAGTGTACACACTTTGCCTTATGGACAAATGGCTAAATGATAAGTATTAGAAGCTTATATTATGTATGATTAAACCCAACATGCCAAGCTGGTTCTGGCACTATAAGGAGGCAGGCCACCCATCCGTTAACCATCTGTCATGCAGTAAAACTAAATGCTTAAACACAAAACCAATAGCAACTAATTGATACAACATCCAATCCAATATGCAAACCTACAACCAGCTACAAACCAGATCTTCATTATTGACTTTCCTTGCTACAAGTTGATAAACCAGCTGAATCCAATGCAATAGGCCAGAAAGATCTATTTTTAAAGGGCCAACTCAGCATACCTCAAGTAAAAACCACACTTACAATTGGATTAAAACTAATATCCTGATCTCACTACTCTCAACTGATTTAAAGCCATAAAACTAATAAATCAGCTCAAGTTTCAAACCCATCATCAAGTTGATTCAAGTCAATAAAATGAAGTAATCAACTTAACAGACAAGCTTTTCCCTCAGAAGTTAAGCCAAACTTCATAAAGTTTCACCTTTTCCACTCAAACTCAACTAGAGAAGACACTAAATATACTTCAAAATCGACTTAAACAGTAAACTTGATTTAAAATTACCTAAACCGGAGAGGTCTTGATGATAATGGTCGTGATCATGATCACCTCGATAGGGCCCAAATCCGTACAATTTCATGTCTTCGTCCTCAGCCAACTCCTCCGGCAACATCATCTTCTTCTTCTTCTCCTCCTCCGAACGGAGGTGATGATGATGGTCATGATCATGGTGATGTTGATGGTGATGGTGGTGGTCATGTCCATGATCACAATGGTGATGATGCCCATGGCCCCCGTGCGCCAGCGACACACCGAATCCACTCCCGAAACACAGATCCAAACTCACCATAACCAAAAGCACCGCCAAAAATATGGGTGTTTTCTCAAAAGACATTTTTTTGTTTAAAATTAAAAGAAAATACCCTTTTTTAGCTTTTAGGGAAATTGAAAGAAAAGGCTGTGTTTGGATGGGGGAGTAATAGAGTAAGAAAAAGACGGACTAAGAACGGCGTTTGCAGGTGCCTTCAATGGTGATGAAACAGACAATGACTAAGAAAAGCAGGATTACGGCCACTATGATGCCGAACGTAACCACATCCATTTTTGTAACCAATTACTGCCTTTTTATTTTAATAAGTAAATAAATAATTTTCATTTTATTTCGTTTTCAGCATAATTTTCTTTTCTGTGATTCTTGGAATCATAAAACAAAATGAAAAGAAATTTCTGACACACTAAAGAAACCCCCAAATTGAAGACCGACGATAAGGTAATGCTGACTTAGGATGCTATATCTGTGCAACAGATAAAATGGTTTTTTTTTCTGACAATTTTTGACGCTTTCTCCTTTGCAATTATTATTAATATGACATTATCATGACGACATAAGGTAAGGGAGAATATTGTAATTTCAATATTGGTAATATTCGTTGGACCCAACATTGATTCGATGAATCGTGAAAGTTGCTTGATATTATCAAGCAACGTCGTTACTGTTTTTACCGTTACTTCTTTTTGAGACGTTCGGTAAAAAAATTGTTAAAAATTCTTGTTATAGTTACTTGGTGGATGGGTAATTTTTTGTTTTGTTTAAATGATTGTAAAAATTTTATTTTAATTTTAAAAATATAAATACATAAATATTTTCATATTTATTTTGTTATTATATTTTAAATTTAAAATTTAAATAAAATAAATAAAATTTGAATTTAATTCACACATGATACTAACTCGATTAATTACTTCTTAATATAATTTTTAGTCTAGTGAAAGTGAAATTTAGTCTAATAAGAATAAAATTTATTGGAAGTTGAGTTAAAGAAAATGTTAAATTTATTAAAAAAGAAAGTTAGATCAAAGATAGTATTTTGAGATGTATTTCTATATTCAAGTGAATTAAATTTTTGAAGAGTAAAAGAGAAAACAGAGAAGGAAGTAGAAGAAAAAATAAAGAATAAAAAAGTGTTTAGGATTTGAAGTGTTCATGTCTGATTTAATTATCTCTTTATAATATAATATAAATAGTTAAAAAGCTAGCTTTGCCCCTTTAAGTTATGATTGGTAGGAAAGAAAAAGATCTTAAATTATGTTTGATAGGAAAAAAAAAAAAAGCATAACCACTTTTTTATTTTATAATTTTGTCATTAAATTATCAAATTTTCATCATCTTTTCTTTTTATCTTACTACGAGATAAAATTTTAAATGGATGTTTGGTTCACAAAAAATTTGAACTTTAAGAAAAAATACGATTTTTAAAAAAATGTGATATTCAAGATATTTTTTTACTTGTTTGGTTTAGAAAATTAATATATATTAATTCTTTAATAATTATTATAATCTTATTGATATATATATATATGAACAACTTTTCATTAATTTTTATTAATAATAAATACTTAAACAATAAGTAATATCCTTAGCAGCAAAATTTTTTTTATTTGATTATTATTTTTTTATAAAATATCATCAATTGAGGCTTTTGACACTTTTTTGAGTAATAAAAATTAATAGAGAAAATTGTTATAAAAAAGGATTAATTAATGTGTTTGTCACTTTTTTATATTATGAAAAAAATAATAAATGTTCCTTTTACTTATTTATAAAATGATCATTGAAGACATTTTTTATATAGAAAATATATTAAATAATTTTTTTATAAATAAATTAAAAGATTATTTAAGGTATTTTTGTTGAAAATTGTCTTAAATAATCTTTTTTTAATAAAGATTATTTAAAGTATTTTTAATCAAAAATATCTTAAATAATCTTTATAAAAAAATAAATTATTTAAAATATTTTTTAATAAAAAAACACCTTAAATAATCTTATTATATTTTTTAAAAAACTTAAATAATCCTATTATATATTTTTAAAGAAATTATTTAAAGTATTTTTTATTAAAAAATACATTAAAAAATATTATTATATTTAAAAAAAAGTTATTTAAGACGTTTTTTAAAAAAAAATGGCTTAAATAATCAAGGAGTAGCTCTACGTAAAGGGCATGTGCAATGAGACCAAAGCCAAGTGTCAATACACTCCATATGGAAGGCATGGTTGCATTTTGGTAGCCATCTAAGCTTGCCCTCGGGCTCAAATTCACACAAGCAAACAACGCAATCAAATGGGTTCTTTACTCCTATGATGGCGTTGTAGTGAAAAACAGGGAGAGCGTCCATAAAAGATTGGTCAACACCATCATCATGGAGATGGAATAGCTGTTTCAACTGCTCTTGAAGAGCAATCACATTATCTATATCTTCTGGCTTTCTATTAGGAGGTCTCAAAAGAAATCTAACTAAAAGGTGAAACAAACCAGAAACAAAGAAAATGATAGCTAGGATTATAATAATGAGTAATATACTGGGATTAACCTTGTTATCCAAATTGAGACTATCAGATTGCAAATTTTGTGGTGGAGACAGTAATGGTGTTGATTGAGGGAGGTAATATGGCTGCTCTGAAGGAGAAAGCAACCTTCTTTGCTTTTATTTCATGGAAAATCCAGTCCATTGTTGTATCTGGAGAAAGATGGACAGAACTTACCAAGATTGAAACTTTAGGCTTTAATCATATGCTAGCAAGGATACCATCTGGGGCTACTAAAAATATATATATATATCCCAGCCTTGATGACTATACAAATAGAAGAAAGAAAATTTAAGCTCAGTATGATGCGAGTTTGTTGGAATTGCAAGGCTTCTGGTTAAGATTTGATGGTTAACAATTGTTTCCTTCTGCTGCATCAGATGCTGTAAGTCAAAAAGGAAGAGAGGAAGTGAAACAGAGGTAAGAGAAGACTTAAATATGATTTTAAGGCGTTTTAATTGGGAAAATACTTTAAATAATTGATGCAAAGATTATTTGAAGTGTAAAGAAAAAAAATGTCATTTTGATGATAGGTGTTTTTGAGGAAAAAAAATCTTAAATAATCATCATTTATGATTTTTTTTAACCCAAACACCTTAAATAATGGATCATTTAATATATTTATTCGTGTCAAATATCATTAACTATAACATAAAAAAAATTTTAACAATAAAAATTTATAATTGAGTTGCACTCACTTTCAAATATATTTTTTAAAAAATAACTGTTATTTCATAAATTTTTGTTCAAATTAAATTTAAAAATAACGTAACTTTTTTTGAAATCTTAAAATATCATAAAAAAAAAAAAAATTTTGATTTTGAGATATTAAATATAGTTATAAATTTATCATTTTTTTTATAATCGAATTATTCTTATTCAAATATAAAAATCAAATATTTACCATCAAAATTTTTAAAAAAAATTTATATATTCTTCCAAATCAAACGTTCTTTAAAATTAATAGACGAATGCTCATGATGCGACGAAACGATTTTAAGATTAAAACTACTTTTATATTAATAATTATTTTTTATTTTTCTATATATCCCATAAATGTTTAAAACAAGCTTTTCCACTTTGAATTAGAAGAAAAATAACAATTAAACAAGTCACATCAGTTCGGGTAGAGTTATTCTGATTCAAAGAAATCTAAATTCAAATCATCTCTGAGTTTGAATCATTTAAAATTGAAAATCAAATAAAATTTTTCAAGTTGGGATCAATTTTTCCAGCACTAGTTTCAAATGCAGTTCAATAAAATGGATCACTTTTGGCAACTTGAATTGCAAATCAATAAAGGGGAGTGCGCTATTGGAGCACTGTTGGACGGCTACAAATCCTTTTTATTAAAATTTTAAATTATCTGTTGGAAAATGAATAATAAAACGCTTCATTGAGAAGCTTAATGAAAAAGGTTTATAGAGACAGCAATAACAAGGGAAAAGCTTATGAAACAAAACCACGTCAACATCGTCAACAATGAAATATCTTCAAGTCCATTACTCCAATCAATACAACTGAAATGGTGGAAGTGATGAAGCAAGTAATGAAACTAATGCATTGATAATGCTTCAAAGGCAGCAGGAGAACAGCATTCTATGAAATAAAACATCAACTATATAATACATGCTACAATATGCATTTCGAAAGATACCAAACTTCCTGCACTGAAATGGTCATGGTCACACTGGAATACATATATACATAGACAATGAAAACACAAGCAAAATCCATGAAAGACGAAAGGTCAGTACTGCTATAACACTCTCCATCTTAGTTGCCCCCTACTTTCTCCACAGACCACAAAAAGTTAATCACAATTTTCCAACTACTATCTATGAGTGTTGTCCTAAATGCAAATAACATCCACATGCATGTCCTCAAATGTCAGTCACCTATGGAACTCCTACCAATTCACAATCATACACTAGTGTACAATCACCTTCATATTCACAAGGTTTTGCTGCTTTAATCGAGTGTACATTTGTTGGAACTATAAACAATAGCTCTTCCTGCAAAAAGAACATAATCAAATCTGCAGTTATTCAATTATGCCAAAAAAAAAAACACCTGTAATCAAAATGGAAATAATATAAGGTTCATAAAGATTTTGGTTCAAACCAGAAACTAGAATCTTTATAACGCAAGTACATCACACCATTTTCCCCAACTTCCAATTATACTCCAAACAAAAAACCTTTCAGCAGATGTTCATATGCATCACTAATGTGTCAAAGAGAGTGAATAGCACATATCCAACCTCCTTCCCCTCCTAATAAATAAGAGGCCAATTAGGTCACACAATATGTGGAGCTACATGATACATACTTTCTAATTTCTATCTCCAGATCCACAGCAATGGGAGGAACTATAAACAGAAAAGATAAATGGTAGGCAAAACATACCAGTTGTGGCTTCTAAATTTAACTATGTGGTGGAGAGGCTAGCTCAGAACCACATACTGATGTGAATGTAGATGCTGTATCTTCCTTTGATATGGCAACAAAGTTCAGAGGCACAGTAGACAACCTTCTCATTTCCTTGAAGTAGCCATTTTGACGCCCTGAGTAAGATCGCGGTGTAAGTAGCTCAGGAGTTCCTCCACCCACTGAGTTCCGACGAGGTGTAGGAGTCATGGATCCATTACCATTTGCTTGATATCCATTTGGCTTTCTGAAGCTGTTATTTTTCCTTGGACTAGGTTTTGACCCATAAATGGCTTCTCTCTCCCTCAGGAGCAGATCTTGAATCTTCTTTTGGTCCTGTGAATCGGAAAAGAGGTTGTTAATGTATTATTTGTAGAGATAGATACATACATTCAATGTGAACCACTTGGAAATCGCATTCATCATATATTTGTATAGATACATACATTCAATGTGAAGCATCTGGAAATGGCATTCATCATATAAAAGATTACATTAAATAAGTTTAAAAGGAGAAGAGAAAAGAAAAAGAAAAGGATAAGGGACCATGGGCTACAGTTCAGAAACTAATCAATACTATTTACACAAGCAAAAGCATATCAAAATTACCCTGCATCTCTTCTTTTCCTCTTCTTTCTGTTTCCTTGTCAGTTTGTAGTCCTCCAGTATCGACACTAGTCGCACCTATATGTCATGTTTACAAAGAAGCTTATTCGGAAACAATTCCAAATGAACACGATTGTCTGAGCGAGTGTGTCAGTGTCAGTGTCTGTGCCTGTGGCAGTGTGTGCTCTAAAACAAGTTCACAGAAACTTAAGCTGCAGAGGAACTGCTGACCCCATCATACAGAAATAACATATTTTTTTCTTCTTCCCAAGCTAGTGTTCTGTTGATCAGATTATCTACAATCCCTGCAAAGGGATACCGTATCAGCTCCAACAGTATTGCCTCCGCCAATTCCATCAGAAAGAGGATCATCTAGGTGAGTAAATACCTGGAATTTTGGTTACAGTTATTCGACCTTTTTCTGCACGTTTAAGGTTAATATGTGCACCTCTTCCAGCATTGTACCGGTTCTCATTCTGAAATTAAAAAAGAGAATTTAACAGGTAATGCTCTAACAATTTATATAGACAACGCAAATCACAAATGCTGGTCAATGTGCTTGTATTTAGTTTGACTTCAGGATTAGTCTACAAGCTACATTGAAGAGAAAATCAAGAAAGAGTGCACAAATGATATATGCACAAACACCCCACACAAAGCTGAGCCCACTAAGCCCTCCTCTCAATTTATTCCAGCTTACTTGACTGTAGTCTTCAAGCCAATTTTCTTCTTCACATGCTAAAAGCCATCGGTCTATTCTATTCATTATTTCTTTTCGGCTCAGAGCTTCATCTTTAGCTTTAGTAATCTGTGCTTCAATGTTTGCTAGAAGTTCAGAAGAGTCTACTAGACCTGAACAACAACAGCAAAGTGTATCACTCTTCAGATTCAAAGAAAAATTTGTCTGAATGCGGAACACTGTGGCAAGGAAACAAGAGACCCATACCAGAATTAATCAATACATTAGATTTCTCAACAGCTGTACTTGCATCGGGTTCAATATGAGTCATTCTGCAAATATCTTCCAATTCTGATCTCCTTTTCATGACAAGTTCTTTCATCCTGCTAGCTTTCAGTTTAGTGAGCTTCTCCACTTCTGCTGATGCCTGTCAGAAGAGCCAAAAAAAATTGAGCGCCTACTTTTCATTATTTAACTAAAAATCAGATTCGTAACATGGTCAAACCTGTTCAATCATCTCAGTTGAAAGAACTCCTGGTTCGGTAACTTCAGCTTCTGATAATCTAAGAACTGAAGTGGCCCTTGAAAAGATACTCTTCTCTGCTTGGGGTGAATCCATCAAGCTCCATAGTTCAAATAGTGCAGCTACAATATCCCTCAACTGCATTTTAAAAACAGGGTTTTACTTCAAATTTCACAAGAAAAATCAACTGAAAGCTAGACGGTATAGAATACCTTCTGGATTCGAATTCTTCTTTCCATTTTCAACTTGTTAATGATCTGTTCTAAACCTTCAAATGTGCAATTGCTAATATTTGTTGTCTGTTCCTGGTTTGTCCTCTGCAAGCTGGGATGCACATCACTTACAGCCTGGGCAAAATCCAACCCTAGTACCCCACAAAGCAAATGCACCTCATTTACGTATTCTAAAACCTTGTGAAGGCGATCAGACTGCAAAACAAAAGAGAATGCTTATATCATAAAAATCTTGAACAAGTCATAAAAATTTTATTGAAATCTATTCGAATTAAATATGCCAGTAATTTTCCAGAAAAGCATATGAACCATGCACCCATTTCTAGCCAATGCTTAATGGCCTTCATCTCTCATCTTAAAACTTGTTTAGGTATAGCGGTAATGTAATCACTCAATGCTAACTATTTAAATACATGTGAAAGAAAAAACAAAAAATATGCCAATACCAAAAAAGTAAAAAGTCAGCTTCATCTGTATTTAAGGTAAGCAATATGTTTGAAATAAGTTTATCTGAAAAAAATTAGAATTGACAGAGATTCCTAACTTCCTTGACAACTGTAGTTAAAGTCAAATTGAATAAACTGTACCTATAATTATCGTAACTTTCTTAAATTACTAAAATTTTCAATGAACTAAGCAGATTATCTAACAAATAACTGCAGAAAAACCAATCAATATACAGAGTGCAAGCATCCAGGAACTTCACATGCATACTTTCTCCTTCTGAAGAGTTTGAAGATGCGTCTGAAATTCAGTAAGCTTTCTTAAGGACAAGTCTTGGTCTTCCATAGTTAAACAGCTAATCATAGTATCACCGGGATAGTTGTAACCAGAAATTTCTCCACTGATCTTTTCAATTTGAGTCTTTATATCTGCAAATTGCTTTATTCTTTCCTCTTTCTTCATCCTCAGATCCTCAAGCAGTGGAGTGACAGATGCAAGTTTTTCTTTTAATGATGTCATCTTCTTCTGTGTCTGCATCTGTGAATAATAAAATAAAAACAAAATTAGAAAATGATACCACACAGGAAGTTGTATGAAATGACATGTAATATTCTTGATAATCAAATGCCAGGGAATTCTTCCTACCGGTGAATGAATATTGAGCGCCCCAAGTGTGGCCATAAGTGTTGCAACCTCCGCTTCCTTGGCTGCAACAGATTGATGTAGACGTGCCTTGGCATTGGCAGCTTCCTCAACTTTCCGGCGGTAGACTTCTAAGCATTCTCTCTCCAATTCCAATAGCATACGGTCTCTATCAGCCTCGCTCTCACCAATGTCACTCCAGATTTGCTGCTCTCAGTACAAAAAGGAAAAACATTAGAGTTGAAATGTGCATTGAATTCTTTTTCAGGATAGAGACTATAAGCTTGCCAACTTCCACCCAAATTAGCTGACAAGAAACTTATGGTAAAACAATGTAAACATATAAAACCAATGACAAAATTAATAACAATTATGCACATAATTCACAGCTTATTTCCACTAAAAATTACAAAACGTACAAAAAATAAAAAGGAAATTGAGGTAACGAACCTGTCAAAACTGAAATACCGAAATAATATAATAGGTGCATATTTATGTATAATTGTATATTTACTGGAAAAAGCCAGTTAATCTACAAATTCCATCAAGTTATTCTACCAAAAACTTCTTCTTTACCCTCATGAACACTGAAACAAACACATCAAAAACGGAGGAAATTTGACCAAGAAACAGTAATAAGCTAAAGTTTAAGAAATACAGGGAGTGAAAAGAAAAACCAAACTAGTTTTCATTAAATTAAGAAATTCAGACAAGTCCTTGAAAGAAACCATTTCAAGAATCATTAAGAAAAATTCTTGCTACACAAAGGCTATTCTTTCTCTTCAGACACCCAAAAGGACCTGAAGAGACCTTGAATTCATAGCTCTCTTAATTGGCCTATTATGATATATGAGTTAAATAAATAGAAAATAATAATAGTTGCTTTTATCCTTAAACAAAGGCATAAACTTTGTCAAACACCGATCACTGAAAGAAAAGGCCAGTTTCCAAACAAGAAATAAGAAACAAGAAAACTCATTTCCCTCCTTTCTTCTTCAAAGACCTTCCTTTGCATGGAACAAGAAGCTCAAAATACCAAAAGAGAGAGAGGCAAAGGGGACCTGCAGTTCTCTGAGCAATGCATTGCAGCTAGTGCTTGCACGGACACTGGAGGCCAAAGGACTCCCAATGGCCAACATTTCCACAGATACCACTCTCTAATTATTCAATACCAAAATTTAAAGTGAAAAAAGAAATACCGTTTAGTTACTTCCCAGAAACAAAGTTCAAAAGAGGACCTACCAAAAAAAAAAAAAAAAGAACTCAAAAGAAAGAAAAAGAAGGAAAGTGAGAGGGAAATAAGTAGATATGAAAAGTCAAAAGAGACAATGCTTAGGAACAAACAAACTCAGTCTTCCTTCAGATCTGAAATACTTAAAATGAAAACACCCAACAAACTCTGTTTCAATTTCCTTTTTCCCAAAACTCTTTCTCTTGAAAAAAAATGCAAAACAAGAATAACACCCACCAAAAAGGATCTTTAAACAGAAGATAGATAAAGGTAAAGTTTTTCTCTTTTGGGGGTTCTTTCTTTTTCAAAATTTTTGGAGAAGAAAAGAGAAAACAGAGACAACAGTTTTTGCTAATAAAGAAAAGGAATTAAACTCTAAAAGGCACAAAATAATCAGATAAAAATGGGTTTTGCTTAATTCCTCTAGGATTTGGGTCAAATGCTTCCAACATGGTTGGTTAAAAGAGATTATCAAAGAACAAGAAGAAGAATAAAAGATCTGTTCTTTTTCTTTTCTTCTTGCGTTTTGGGTCTGAAACTAAGAAACTCTTCGAGCTGAAAAACATTAAGTACACTGGAACAAAGAATCCAATTATCTTATTTCACAAACATTAAATAATTTTATTATTTTATTGTTTTGTTGAAAATTAATGAAGGAAGGAACCGACAGGTGATCTAAACATACCGAATCTGAGAAAAAGATCGTGTACTACACTTCCAAATAACAAGTGGATTTGGTGCTCAAATGTAAGATGGCGCGTGGACTATAAGGGATGTTTGCATAAACTATTTTTGAGTGACTACTGACTCCAGTAGCTGTTATGATTTGAGGTTTAACATGCAAAAACCATATAAACCGGATTTATATAGTGCCTATTTTGTGGTAAATATAATTAAAATATAAAATTATGATATTATAATTTATGTTAAATTATTAAATATAAAATTTATTTTTTATTTTTTTAAAGATATATACAAGTAATTTTATTAAAAATTTAAATTATATTATTTTTAAATAACATCATTATAACATATTTAAAATTATTAAATTTAAAATAAATTAATACAATTTATTAAAATAAAAAATAAATTAAGTCTTTTAGTAAAAAAAAACACTGGTCAAAAAAATTTTAAAACATTTATTTTTACATGGTACTGAATATTAATGATTTTGTACTTTAATTTACAGCTGCAATTCTTTCACGCTTGTACGACTAATTTACAGCTACAATTCTTTCATACTTGTACGAATAGTCTACTTTCAGCTTGGTTGGTAGAAGTAATGGTGGAATGACAATTGGCAACGTTATTAATTAAAGTTGCTTTTGCTTGATTTAAAAAAAAAAAAACTACTGAAAAGTTTATGGCTATGTACTTTGGTTGGTACTTGATACAGGTAGCTTGAGTTTACTTTATTATTACTTGCTTGTATTTTTGGGATTTTTTTGCATTAATGTCACGGTACTTTTTTTATAATTTTGTTGAGTGTGGGTATTTTTAAAATTATTATTATATTAAGTTTTTTTTTTCATATGTATTAAAATTCGTCAATGTAATTTAATTAAAGAATGCCAGAAGGACTTGTTAGTAAATTTATTATACAAATTTCAAGGTACTTTTTCAGCATATTTTTATTTTGTACATTTTATGCTATTTTCTATGATTTTTTTTTAAGGTATGACTACTTGCAAATATGGTGCTACAATCAATAATGTATTAAATAATAATTTTATAAATATTTATTTCATATAAATAATTGACAGATCGAAATATTCACTATTTTTACAATTTCAATAGTAATTATTACTATTTAGTTTTTTTTTTAAAGAAGATAACAATCATTAAATCGAGCATCATTAAAATTACAATTTTAAACCTATTGGAAGATCAATATTCATTATTATGATTGTTATATGATTTATAGAAAATTCTAAAACCCATTAAAAGCTAAATTAATTAAGATCAGCCCATAAATTAATTCACTAATTACGGGAAATTTGATATGTAAAAAAAATTGAACTTAATTTAGAACCTGTACTTTATTTTTTTTTATATGGAGAAAAGGATTTAACATAAACAAAAAGACAAAAACCTTAAATTCATGACATAAAATATTAATTAGATGAATTTATTAAAAAATTATTTCACCTCCCATGCTGCTTTCTATCATCCATTCTCATAGATTCTATATGTAATTTGTTTTGTTTTGATTTGATTTGGATAAGGTAAAGAATTTTCTAAAAAGAAAAAAACAAAACTACAGAAATAATGCATTGAGGACAAACAGAACACAGTTCTGAATTCTATGCCCACTTTGTGTTTTTAAGATTCCGAGGCTGATAAAAGAACACATAGCCTTCTAACTTTGTCCATGAGATGTTGTCTCATCTCTCATCTATAAAATTAATTCAAGATTTTAAATTTAGTTCAAAATTTGTGGAAATTTTTGGTGACAAGAACAAAATTCATGGATTTAGTTCTATTTTATTTTAGTTTTGATTTGTTTACTTATTTTTATTTATTTTATTAAATGAATTATATATCATGTGTACATATATTGAACATGACTCAGTTGAAATCACATTAATGTCATATTCTAATAAAATTACTCATAATACCTTATATAAAAGGTCTAAGGTTGTTTATTAACAAAATTACCCAATTCATACCATAGGATTTATAGTGAAAAATATCAATTGATTTAAGTTTAAAATCATATATGTATGACAAATATCTTGCTAGTTAAATTTGCGTTTAGTAAGCTTGGATCCAATTTTTTATTTTTCCAGAAGAAGAAGAAAATTACATAGTATGATTGACCTTTGAGCTGTATTTTAACAGAAAAAAAAAAGCATAATTAATTAAATTTAAAATTAAATTAATTTAATTTATATAATTATTTTAAAATTTAATATCTAATAAGTTTATTTTTAAATTTTAATATTTATAATTATTTTTTTTTTTAAATTACGATTTTTTTTTTAAGTAGCATAGCTAGCCTCCAAAGACATTATAATAATTCTGTTGACCCGCAAATTGGAGCAAAATAGACTATCATTTCTATGTTTGATTGAACTCTAATCTACCAACATTATTATCATTAATTTATCTCAGCAATCATATAATTATTGACATGGCCTCTTCTTGTTGGTTTGGTGGATTGGATTATTATTGCACATTCTTAATCCATTGGACAATTAATCATAATATAAAATTAAAAAAACAACAATATTTCTTTCGAGAAATTAACTTGGAGAGAAGGACAAAGACAGGAAAAAAAATATAGCTGGCTTAGGGGAAAATAAGGGTGAGGGACCCTCAATGTCCATAGCAACAATTATGGGAAAAAAGGATCCCATCCTAACTGCATGATAAGGAAATTTCTCAAAAATTCATATGGTCCCCGTTTGTTATCCTTTCAAGTCCTCCTTTTCAATGGTAAAAACAAAAACACCTAAAGCAATTAAGCATCTAACACCTTTTTTTTTTTTAATTTTTATAAAATTACATAAAACAATTGATTCGTGTTTCCATTTTTTTCTCAATTATAAGTACAAATTATAAACATAATCAAGAATTGCACCAATCACTTAATAATCAAATAAATTAACCAACTAATAAATTAAAATATAATTAAATAAATTTAGTGTAAAATTAAATCAAACTACGTATGGTAAAATTTAAATTTAAGATTTCAAAACTCTAAAGCTTTCTTCTTGCCTACAAACTAAGACCTTATAAGTAATTAAATTCTGGATTTTAAGTGTTAAATTATTGTTTTTCCTGGCAAATAATAATAAAAAAATCCTATCCCAACTTTTTTTAGTAAAAAGAAAAGAAAAGAAAAGAAAAGTTATTGTGATAGATTATTAAATATTTTGGCATCTTTCTTTCTATATTAGCAGTTAGCAAAAGGAGGAGAATTATAGTTATCGTATATTTTCTAGTTCATGTATAATAATTTAAATTTCTTGAAAATTACTCAAATCCTCCATGTCCATGACCACCAGTACAATCCCTACTTATTTTCAGCATGTGTTTATAGTCACATGTCTCCTATAAAGACATTGGGACGGGAGGGTCCTTCAACCAAACTAAAAGACCAAGTTTGTCCTCAAAGTGAACTCATGAGAAGAAAAATGTTGGATAGGAATCCGACCAATGCTGCTTCAGAACGAAAACAAATGCTTATTCTCTTGCTAGTAGTGGGAAATTGAAAAAAAAAAATTGAAAAAGAAATTAAAATAAGATTAAAGAACAAACAATTCCATACTTCACGAGTAGTGATTTACTACTTCCACAAGGACAACTGTTGAACATTTTCCCAAGAAATTTACTGCTCACCATCACACAAATATACCCGAATTCTTCGGATTTTAACGTGACGCGATTTTATAATATTGATTTTTTTAATCGGATTTTTAATTGGATTGTTTTTTTTTTTAAAATATTGGAGTCGAATTTTAACATGCATCCATATTATTTTTTTATTAAAATCTTATATCGAATTATTTTTATATATTTTAAAATATTTTTGTATTATATTTTAGGCCGTCAAATATAATTAGTAATGATATAACGAGAGTGACACGTGTTCTCTCAAGTAAATAACATGCAACCGAAAAGGCTTTAGTTCATGCCTAAGAATGTTTTTCTTATTCCAGCAAAATAAATATTCTCTTCTGTGAACAAAAAGAACAAACTTAAATGCAACAACAAACTACATTAAAATAGTCATATTCTCACAAATTAATCATATCAGACTCAACAATGAGATGTGAAAGTAGGCTGTAAACGAGCCGAGCCGAGTCGAATAGTGAAAAGTTCGAGCTTGAGCTCGACTCATAATTCAGGATTCGATACTCGGCTCGAGTTCAATTGAGTTTTATTTTTCGAGCTCGACTCTAGAATAATCGAACCGAATTTGAATTTTTTTCGAATAAAATTCGAATAGTTTATGAGTACTAATGTATCATTTATACCCCTATGCGAAATGGCCCACCTTCAAAAATACTACTTCACATAAAATGAAAGATGAATCTCCTTTGATGATGAATTGATGATCACAGTGTCTCTTAGTCACAGACATAAACCTAGTAAATCTACTTAAAAACATGACAAGTTAAGCAGTCATGAATTAATTTTGTAATCCAAGATATAACATGTAGAAAGAATTAAAATCCAAACAATTCACATTAACATCAAAACAAAAAAAAAGAAAAAAAAAGAAACTTTAAGCCAAAGAAGCAAAACCTTCCAAAAAAAAAAACTCAGCAGGTGATAATGTACTGTGTAGGTATATAGCAAAAATGTAGAAAATGTCAAATAGCTACAGCAAATTAAAGATGAAATTTTGGAGAAAGTGACAGAAAATTAGTAGTAAAAAAGTTTTGATGACAAAGTGATGGTGGCACCCATAGACATAAGCCACATCTAACCTTTGTTTCTAATAAACGGAGTCCATTGCAGAAAGGTGAAAATGAAAAACAAAAGCCTGACTATATGCATTTCTATCTAATATTAATAAATCAATAGGCCGTGTGCTAGAGCCCGCATATCATCAGGCCAGATATGAGTAG